GCCTTTCAAGTCACCCAGAAAGCCCTTCCTGAACCTGCGCTCGAGGCAGGGAAGGGTCCCATGTTATAGGGACCAGAACATGGTTCCTGAGACAGACATGAGTATGCGTTAGTGCTCTAAGTGGCTTGAATCCTGACTCAGACGAGGGTATAGGAGTGCTAGACGCGTCATCTGGGAGCCAGGCTGTAAACGATGGAGAGGATCTGTACCTGGGTAAGGATCTCATAGGCAGCAGAGCAGCAGAAGTGGGGGGGAAAGGGGTGACGTGCGCACATCTTTCCTGAAAGTCTGTTCTGTACCAGGTACTTGTCATGTATCATCTCCTAATATGTCTTATGTTCTCACACCAGCCCTGTGAGCCACTATTACCCCCCTATGTAGACAGACAGGGGGGTCTCAAAAATGTCTACACACTTTCACAGCTGACAGCTCAACTTGGAAAAGGAAATGTATTTTAATAAACACTGCCTTTATAATTATTCAAACTGTGTGTATACATTTTTGGGGCCATATATATATATAAAAAATTATATATATATATATAATTTAAACCCATCCACACTGAGCAGGTACAAGTCTGGGCACAGAGCTAGTGTACAGGAGGTAAAATAAGAACACGTTTACTGGTAAACAGGCAGGTTCCAACCAAACAGGCAGACCTTGATGCCAGGATATGCACTCTGCCTTCTTCAATGGGCAGCAGGGACCCCTGCAGATGCTGGAAGGGGCATTAGCCCCTGCCTGGCCGTGGTTCTGAGGAGGCGGGGCAGTGGGAGAACAGTGGCTGCCCCCAGTCAGAGCTTACTGACAGCTGCAAAGGCCTGAGCAGGAGCCTGACAGCCTCCCCAACGGCCCCCCAGTCCCTAGAGAGACGCACCTGTTCCCCAGCTCCCCCTGTAAGCAGAGTCCCCCCATTGCCCACCAGGGGAGCTGTGGTGGCAGGGCCCCCTCCGTGTTGCTTCAACAGGTAAAGCGCGTGGAGGGACGCCAGACAGTGATAACCACCATGGGGGTCTGGGAGCAGCCGCGTGCCTGGTGCTTCCAGTCCATGCCCGCACACTTGGTGGTCAAAATGGTTTCTTTTCCTCTTATCGTTCGCTTTTATTACTAAAGCAATATGCAAACACTGCGGAAAAGAAAACTCGACTCTGTGGTCCCCACAGGCCTTTTGTTGAATGTTCTCAGGCAAAGAACAATGAAAAGTTTAGCCTAACTGACATTTTTCTTAGGCGAGTGTGCAGTGCTGAGGAAAAGGGCAGCAGAAGGGGTGGGGCCGAGGCTAAGGCAGCATCCTCCCCCCTCCAGCTGGCCTGGCAGGAGCCGGTCTCCATCCACACCCCCCACGCGGGCACCCTCTGCCCAGCACGATGTCCCTGCCACAGGCGGGCTGGACGTGGAGCCGCGTGTAGGTACGGGAGCAAACACAGGCAACTTACTCTAGGAGAGGAGAACTCACACCATCAGCTAACCACCCTGCCCACCCTCCCCGCCAGCTGCCTCTGGGAGCCCTCAGTGCTGGGGGCTCTGTGGGGTCCCTTTACTTCCCTCTCCCCCCTCCCCCACAGTGGTTTGTCTTCCCGTGCCTTGCATTTGGCAGCCAGTTGGTAGTGTTCCCACTCGCTGATTCTTGTCCAGGCTGTTGTTGGTGAAGCTCCCACAAGGTGAAAACTGTCAGGCTCTTCTCTTATTCCCAGTGGGGACACACGGTTTGCCCTCCCTTGGGTCTGATCCATGCAAGTGAGAAGAGGAAGGAAGTCAACTAGCTGGCCTCACACTCTTGGCCTGAAACCCTTCCCTCCCTGGGTCACGGGAGCCGGCTGGCGCAGGCTGGCGCATCACGCTGCCCGCCCGCCCGTTGGTTGGTCGGTGGTTGGTCGGTCGGGGGCTGGAGGCGGAATCTGTGGGAGTGCTTCCGCTGCGGACACCGGCAGATCCCACAATCAGGGCAGGTTTGCTTTCTCAGGAGCAAGTTGCTCAACATTTACCATCACCCCTCTTCCTTGTAGGAATGAAAGGTCGGTGTTGCCAGAGCTTTTAAACTTTAAATAGAAGCTGAACATCTACATTTTTATTTTTAAAAATGTCTAGATTTCAATAATTTGGCAACTTATTTAAACAAACAAACAAATAAAACCCAGAAAAACAAAAAAAAAAATCCCTAAGCAGACAAACACATTAGCCGACTGTATTCGCCTCTGCATGGGCATGTCACAACGTAACACCAGGGATGACACCCCTGGAAGGTCTCTGAATTTGGGGTGTCATCCATTTTGGAGTGTAAGATGAGGAGTAAAGGAAGTGACAGAACCTTTCTCGGAGTCCTGATCCTAGGCCTAGGGTGGTTCTGAAAATCGGGAGATAAACATAGACTTTTCCCCACAGTGGACATTGGGGTTGAGGACCCATAAGTATACCGTGTGCCTGGAGTTTTTCTGCCTGCTTCTTCCACTGCAGGTATCTGCTGGCCGATGTCCTCCTCCACCTTTCCATTCCTGCGCTCTGTCCTCTGTCACTTCTGCCCACCTTGCTATGCACGTCCTTCCTCCTTGCTTTGATGGTTCTCTGAACCCTCCCACAGGTTCCAGAGGGCACCTCCTGTTCTCACCAGCCAGGTGGCAGCACTGTGACTGCCCTCCTTTAAGTCCAGAACGACTCACCATGAGCAGTTATACCCGGGGTGTCCCAGTGCAGCACTCGGCATGTGCCAAAGGGCCGGCTCAGTGTGTTCTACAAGGAGCCAGGGAAGGAGCAGGCCGTGGGAGTTGGCCCAGGACCAGCATAGAGCCTGTGCTGGGCTCCAGAGTTTGTGTAAACAAGTTCCGTGTACAATTGAAATTTTAAAAGAAATAGGTTAGCCTGGCTGGTGTTGCTCAGTGGTTAAGCATCAAAACCAGAAGGACAGTTCAATTCCCGGTCAGGGCACATGCGTGGGTTGTGGGCTCAATACCCAGTGTGGGGCGTGCAGAAGGCAGCCAATCTATTATTCCCTCTCATCATTGATGCCTCTCTCTCTCTCTCTCTCTCTCTCTCTCTCTTTCTCCTCCCCTTCCTCTCTGAAAACAATAAAAATATATTTTAAAAAAGAAACAGGTTAGTGTAGAGTAGGGTTAGCAAGGCAAGGGCATAGGGATGTGGTTATGTGTGTAGGCTCTGATATCCTGCGTGTTCAGTCCTGGCTCTGCCACTTACTATCTATGTCACCTTAAGTAAGTACATGTCTCAAGTTCCACATCTGTGAAGGGGTTAATAATCATGCCTACTTGATGCCGTTGTAATAATTATTAAATGAATTAATGTGTAAAGCACTTAAATCAAAGCACTATAGATAGTAGGCACTCGATAAATGTTAGTCTCTCTTATGATGAGGAGGAGGAAAATAATAGTGGTGGTGGCTATGATGTTGGTGGTGATGATGGTGATGGTGATGGTGGTGATGACCATCGTGGTGGTGATGATGATGGTGCTGCTGCTGCTGCTGCTGCTGATGATGATGATGATAGTAGTGACGGTGATGTTAATGATGACAATCATGGTTATTATGGTGGTGGTGGTGGTGGTGGTGATGGTTGAATGATGTTAGTGGTGATGGTGATGATGGTGCTGGTGGTGATGATCATGATGATATCATTATTACATGAACACTGTCGTAAATGGGTTGAAAGGGAGTAGAAGGTTATGACACAGTAGGGCAGAGACTGAGGTCCACACTCTGTTCTCACCAGTATTCTCTGCGCCCTTCAGTCCTTCTCTACTGGCTCAGCCTCAGCCATCTTACCAAACGTAACGGTTTCCCAAGGGATGAGGCAAAGCCCAACATTCATCCTCCCTAATGGATAATAGACACTGTGACACTGTGAATTCGCCTAATTTTGAAACTGTCCAACATGAGATCAGTAATGGGTTCTCCAAGATCAGTTTGTTTTTGCTTCTGGAATTAAATGAAATAAGTCCAACCTGGAGCTCTCCCCCCCCGCCAGTCTAGGACACTCCCATAGGAGCTAGAAGCAACAGGTCAGTCAGCAAGGACTGAGGAGCTGCCATAGCAGTGTTCCCAGCTCTCAAGGTTCTGAGCAAATGCTATGCTCTCAGAACCAAGGGAACTTCCCATCAATACTTTTCATGGAGGAGCTTGGGTCTAAGGTAAAAACACAGAAATATAAAAACCGTAAAAGTGAGGAGGGGGCTGCCCTTCCTGAAGGCAGCGGACTCCAATCTGCCACTGCAGACGGAAGTGTGGAGTGAGCCAATCAGGATTTCAATAACGCGTGGCATTTGCGAGCAAAGGCTGGAAGAGAGAGTGGCCACAGGGGCCACGGATGGGCCACTTGCCTAGAATGAAGGGGCAGAGTAGAGGGAGTGAGGACCCGGCTGAGGTGCAGGCCGCAGAGCTAGCTGACACCTCCTCACCACGCATCGCCTCAGAGCTAAGTGACTGTGATACCCTGTGAGCACACCCGAAGCAGGGCCTCACCTGGTGGAAGCACACAGGGGCAGAACCCTTTCTGATCACCGACTTCTAGTCTTTGGAGGGAAAGATACCAGTTATAAGATACCAAATCAAGTCCCCGTGGCCAGACAGGCACACGCAGCTTTTACAAATAACAGGACTGACCGCTGAAATCCGAGCTGGCCTGCAATGTAGAGGACTGGAAACCCAGTCATATATCTGAAATATAAGGCAGAAAGCAAGTCCCATTAGAGAGGTGCAGCTAAAGGCACGGAGGCTGGAAAGAGAAAGTGAGCCCAGGGCAGTGGTGGGTCATGAACTTGGTATGCAGCAGTGTGGTCCAGTGGCAAGGACACTGCCTTGGCCACCAGATGTGCTGAGAGTGGACAGTCAGATGGTGTCATCTAGCCTCGTGCTACTCAAGCTGTGGGCCAGCCGTGTCAGCACCCCAGGAACCTGTTGGAAATGCAGTCTCACCACCACCCCACACCTGCTGAAATAGAATGCGCATTTTCCCAAGATCTCAGTGCCTCACACGCACAGTAACGCTGGAGACCTGCTGCTCCACACAGTAATCTCGACCCTGGGTGCCCCTCAGCACGGCCTGGGCAAGCCTGGAAAGCAGTGACACACAATGCAGTCTCCACCGCCAAGGTTCTGATTGGATTGTCTGTGGCAGGACCTGGGCATCAAGTTTTACTTAAAGAAACTTCCTACATAGTTCCCACGTTCAGCAAATGTTGAGAACCAGAGCTGAGAGGGAGACTGTGAAGTAAGGAGCACATCTTGAGGACTGTGGAGCTTGAGTTCACATCAGACCCACACAATGGAGCCTGGCTGGTGCAGGCCAGTGGCTGCAGAGACAGTCTGTCCATGGCAGGCGGGCAGAGGGGATGGAGGGCTCAGGCTCACCTGAGAGAGGGAGGGTCGGCCTGTGGCTATGAATGGGGACACCTGGGCAACAGTGGGTACGAGTAGAAATCCAAGAATTGACTTGACCTTTTGCTTGGACCAGAATCCCCTGGGGGGCTTGTTAAACTACACCTGGTTGGATATCACCCCCAGAATTCTGGGGCGGGGCCAAGAATTTGCGTGGGAATTTGGTTGGACCCGAGACACCAGTGTGGAATGGTGCACAAGTCACGTGCATGTGCATCTTCTTGGCCTCAGTGTCCTCATGGGTAAATGTTTGGTCCAGGGTTTCTCAGCTTCAGCACTATGAATGTCTTGGGCCTGGTAATTCTCTGTCGTAAGGATCTGTCCGTGCATCCCTGGCCCCTGCCCACGAGCTGCCAGTACTTCCTCCCCCCCAGCTGTGGCAACAAAAATATCTCAAGTCTCGGCCAAATGTTCCCTTGGGAGAGCAGGTGCGAAATCACCCCATTGAGGACACTCGTTTCTACTTTTTTGTTTGTTTAATGGGTGCTAAAAGCACTTTTTCTTATTTTGTGGAAACTTATGCTTCTAAATTATAACAAACGTGAGTATTTTCCGAACAAAACAATTCCTCTGAAAATGCATATGCAGGGGTGGGCAGGCGTAGGGTTATAGTTGTTCACATGGAAGAAGACATGCAGGCAATGATTATGACAACAGCTCTATTCATTCTGTGTTCTGTGTACTCTCAACTGTAAGCCTACTTTTGCCCACCCTGTGTTTGATGGTGCGCTGGGCTCTGGTAGAAGGTGTTTGGGGACGTGGTGCCAGATTGCTTGGTTTTTAACTCAGGCTGCCCCGCTTACCACTGTTAGACATCTGGCAAATTTATTTTCTTCTTTTAACTTTTCATTTTGAAAAAAAATTTTAAATTCTAGAAAAGTTGCAAAAATAGTATAGTTTCCAAATATCCATCCCTGGGCCTCCCCTCTGTCAACATCGTATATAATATAATGCAGTCTCTTAACTGCCTTCTGCCTCAGTTTCCTTATCTATAAAACTAGGACCCAGCCAGCTCAGACAGCTGTGAAGAGGACTGAATGGGATAATTCCCGTAAAATACTCAGAATAGCACCTGGAACATATCAAGCGCTCAGCAAATGTCAGTTATTATTTTGTTGTTATCCCCTGTGGCTTTAAAATCTCCCCAAGTGGTGAGCGGTGAGTGGAGAAACAGACCCCATGAGTAAGGAGTGGACCTCGCAGCCGTATATGCCAGTCTGTGCCTACCTGTGTGTGTGCCTCCACCTGCTGAGCCTGCAGTGTAACCCACACCCCCCGCCCACCTGCTCCTCCCGTGGCATCCGGAGGGACGTCCTGGATCCTGAGCTCTGCTACCTTCCGGTGGCTTGTCCCGGGACCCCAGTTGCTGTGACTGCGTGAGGCAATGCCCCAGAGCTCGCCTCCTGCAGAAGCTGGGCGAACAGAGCCTGGCATTGGCACCAATGGGCAACGCATCCTCCAGTCTGTTCAACACTCTTCTCAAGGCCCTACAGAATTTACACAGGAGCACAGACCTCCGGTCCTGCAATCGTCCATTCTCCCTGAGCTTGAGGGTTCTGGGCCCTGGTGTTGCCGGAGGGAATATTATCAGAGGGAATAGCATAAAAGGTCTGTCTGTGTCTCGCTTTTGCCTCCAGCCAGGGGTATCAGAGCACTTTGTAAATGGTAATTAAGCTCACCTCCCCAGCCAGAACAAGTGGTGCTCAGTACTAGTACTAGTTTATGTTGTAGACGGAGCCCTGGGGCCTAAGGAGAGAACCGGCCTTTACAACTCACCTGGCTTGCAGGGTGGTGGGAGGCTGTGTGGCAGGGCTCCTCCCGCTCCCCTCTGTCACACACACACACACACACACACACACACACACACACACACACCTTAATCCTTAGAACAAGCCCAGAGGGTAGGTGCTGGAGTTCTCTCCATCACGCAGCGGCTAAGAGCCCCGGCTCCAGAATTCACTTGCCTGATTCGAATCCAGACGTCACCACTTAGTAGCTGTGTCAGGTTGGGAAAACTACTGCACCTCTCAATGTCTCCCTTTCATCATAGAGAAATGGGGATAATAGCATTGAAGTGCTCTCCTCCGGGAATATATCCTAAGAAACCCAAAGCAGCAGTCAGAAGGGACATATGCACCCCTATGTGCATAGCAGCACAATTTACCATAGCTAAGTTCTGGAAACAGCCCAAGTGCCCATCAGAAGATGAATGTACCAAAAAACTGGCACATCTACACAACGGAATACTACACTGCTGTAAAAAAGCAAGAACTCTTACCATTTTCAACTGCATGGAGGGATCCGGAGAGCATTATGCTAAGCGAAATAAGCCAGTCAGAGAAAGGCAAGTATCACATGATCTCACTCATTTGTGGAATCTAATTAAAATAAGCTGATGAACAAAATAGATCCAGAGACATAGAAGCATGGAACAGACTGATAAATCTCAGAGGGAAGGTTAGGGGCGGGGAGAGATTAACCAAATAATTTACATGCATATATGCATAACCCAGGGACATGGACAATAGTAGGATGAAGGCCTGGGAGGGGTGGGAGTGGGAAAAAGGGGTCAATGGGGAGGGGAAGGGAGGGCATCTGTAATGCTTTCAACAATAAAGAATAGCAGCGAGGGAGAGATTAACCAAATAACTTACATGCATATGCTAATATGCATAACCCAAGGACACAGACAATGGTGAGGTGAAGGCCTGGGAATGGGTGGGAATGGGAAAAAGGGGTCAATGGAGAGGGGAAGGGAGGACATCTGTAATGCTTTCAACAATAAAGACACTTAAAAAAAATAAAAAAGATGTGTGCAAAACAAAATAAAACAAAAACGGGACCATGCACAGAGAGTTAGACACCAGCTCACCACTTTTAAAAAATAAAAAAAAATGTGTGCAAAACAAAAAAGGGACCATGCACAGAGAGTTAGACACCAGCTCACAGTGCCTCCCACCCTCCTGTCACCATGTTAGAAAGTGGTGTGTGGCCACAATTCCTTTAACCACATCCATACCCATCACATGTGCCTCCCACCCTCCTGTCACCATGTTAGAAAAGCGGTGTGTGGCCACAGTTCCTTTAAACACATCCATACCCATCAGTAAGGGCCCGCGTTGTGGTCACTGGGCCTGTCCCTCAGTGAAAGCGCCCGGGTTGTGGTCACTGGGCCTGTCCCCCAAGGAAAGGGCCCGGGTTGTGGTCACTGGGCCTGTCCTCCAGTGAAAGGGTCCGGGTTGCAGTCACTGGGCCTGTTCCTCAGGGTAAGGGCTCAGGTTGTGGTCACTGGGCCTTTCCCTCAGGGAAAGGGCCTGCGTTGTGGTCACTGGGCCTGTCCTCCAGTGAAAGGGTCCGGGTTGCAGTCACTGGGCCTGTTCCTCAGGGAAAGGGCTCAGGTTGTGGTCACTGGGCCTGTCCCTCAGGGAAAGGGCCTGCGTTGTGGTCACTGGGCCTGTCCTCCAGTGAAAGGGACCACAAAACACGTGTCTGTGTTGGCGGTTGGTTCCCAGTTTTGGCTTCCACCCCAACACAGAAACCCAATGCACACACTTGTCCATTGACTTGTTCACCAGGTGAAAAGCATTCAAGATGCAATTCGAGATAAGAAGAAGAAGTTCAGCTTCCTCGGAGAGGAGATTAGCCTGAATCCCTCTGTGGGCATCTTCATCACCATGAACCCCGGCTATGCGGGCCGCACGGAGCTGCCCGAGAACCTGAAGGCTCTCTTCAGGTGAGCATCAGCCCACCCCTCCTGAGTGCCCCAATCAGAGGTGTCTGTTATTTCCTCTACTGGACAGGTGTGACCTAGAGAGAGGAAATTTGGAATATATAGAAAAGTAGACTTTTTTTTAAAAGCCACCTTTAACACCGCCCCCCGTAAAATGATTTTTGCTTGTGTTCTCTTTCCTTATGTGCACTTTTTAAGGTCATATATTGTAGTCTACACGTGTTGTCTACACAGTTTTATATTGTTTTGTTTGTTCATTTCATAGTCTATTATAATCATATTGTAAATAGTTTCTTCTGGCAGATAATCTTAATAAATCTCATTCCATGACTGCATTTTACTCTATCAAGTACTTGGTCCACAATGAAATTAACTAGTCCCCCATAGTTACCTATTAAGACTGTAACATTTAAAGTAAGTTTATGCATAATGTTGTAATACACATCTTTGTCAATGTCTTTTTTTCTATATGCATGATTATTTTCTTTGGCTAGCTTCCCAGAAGTGGAATCACTGAGTTAACAGGGGGGAACATTTTTGAGGCTTTTGACACACATTGCCAAATTGCTTTAGAAAAAGAGAAGTACCAAGTTACATCCCCAGTAGCGATGCATGAGAACACTTCTCTCATTTTACCTTTGCCAGTGATGGATATTGCCATGTTTTAGAATCTTCTTTATATGGATAAGAACACACACACACACATATTTCCTAGCAGTACCTGGAACCTCCATTCTTTGTTCACACAAGAGAAGTCAGCCCAGCCCAGAGGAAACTGAAAGATGCTATGGCTTCTAGTTCCCACCGACTGAACCATTACCTGAGAGAGGTTATGGGAGCTATGATAGAGGAATGCATCTTACCTCAGAACTGGGAGCCCCGTGCTCTCTGGAGATGTGAAGGCCCAGAAGGCCACTGAAAAGCCCCCTGTGTACTCAGGGCCCTCACTTGAGCTGCCCCAGTGGTGGCAAATGCCTATGTGACAGGAGTGGTGTGGATACCTCCTCCTTGAGGCCGGTCCCACTTCAACCAGGAGCTTGATGGAATTTCAACAGGCTGCTAAGCTGGTGCCATAGGATACTGTGTTGTACAGTAAGAAAACAGATGAACTCAGCAAATTGCTCAGGGTAGTCACCCTAGTTACTAGGGTTAACTAGTAACAGACAGAACCGGAGTTTGAACCCAGGCAGTCTGACTCCGGCCTCCCTGCTCCTCCCCATCCCATTCCTGTAATCACAGATAGTCAGTGTAACCCTTTGGCATTCTTCCTTCCAATGTTTTGTGGGTAGAGAGTTCTTTTCCAAACTTGGGATCAGACCTGTATAGTTTCGTTTCCTGCCTTCATTGGTCAATGTCTTCCCATGTCATTAAATAGTTTTTCTTTTACAGCGGTATCATGGCCACGTTGGGTTCCACTGTGTGGATACATATTTAACCTTTTTCATGTGGCAAAATAATTTTGAGTTTCTAAGTATTTAGGTGCTCCTTTGAGTTTGATTGCAATGTAAATTAATTTAAAGAAAAATGTACTTGAATGAAATGTTTTTGGAAATTTTGTAGCAGTGTAGGAAAAAATGCAATTAAAGAATGTAACAACCTTAGGCTCCCATTACACACCTAATAAATTAATTTAAAAATAAGTACTTTTAAAATAAAATGTTCCTAGAGGCAGAGGGGAAAAAATCAAAGTAAATTCTCCTACATGGACAAAAATCCCCTCAGTATCCTCCTATGTCCCATTTTGTGACGAGGTGAGGTTAATAAGTGCTTACTTTAACCCTCAGCATTCAATATTTATATTTGTATGCAGATAAGGACAAGATAAACCCTGAGTGTCTGAGCTTGGAAGAGACATACGTTCAGGATGAAAAACTAGATCTCAGTTTCCTGTAGACACTAAGAGAGGCTCAACTCCACAACCTCAGCCCCTAATCATTCTTTACTAATCTGTGCCTTGTGAAAAGCACACTGGGCCCAAGTGACAGATGTGAGTTGAAGCCCCAACTCTGCCATTGACTGCTAACTTCATTCATCAACTTGGGAAAGAGAGTTCACTTTCTTTATGCTCAGTCAACACAACTTTACATTGAAAGTCTTAGATGAAATCATTGCTAAGGACTAAGTTTTTGGACTCACAGATGCCTCCTTCTGTGATCTCAGTCAGTGTGTCCTGCCCTGTAAGCTCCCTTTGACTACGCAGTTGGCAACTCTCTCCGCCCTCATCTCCCTGTGCACAGGCCCTGCGCCATGGTGGTTCCAGACTTTGAGCTGATCTGTGAAATCATGCTGGTGGCAGAAGGATTCCTTGAAGCCCGGTCATTAGCCAGAAAGTTCATCACCCTTTACCAGTTGTGCAAAGAGCTTCTCTCCAAACAGGTACATTCCGCAGTTCACTGAAAAAGTCAATCATGTGTGATTGCCTTAGCTCTGGACGGATTCCAGGGCCAGTGTATCAGGGAAACACAGAGCCTTCTCATAGAGCTGCTGTGCCCATAAGCACATTAAAAGCTCTGTGATTAAGATCTGTGTCCATTTTCTTAGCCCAGCATTTAAAATAATTGACCACAGAGCTCCCACTTTTAATTGAATGTGTGGCAGCACCTCATAGATCACCAGTGTCCCCTGAGAAGCACGCAGCAGCTGAGGAAAACCGGAGATGGAGAGAGTTAGGGAGGGAGAATCAGGCATTAAGGAGTCATGCTTCTCACCGCTGCTTGGCTGTCACTGTGGCTTCTGTCCAGGCAGATCCCCTCACAGAAATAACACCCTAAGACATGACCAAGAATGTCCGACATTTTTGCCTTGGATATGAATTTTTTGGTGGCAATCAAGTTCCCTTGGGCTGTTTCCAATGAGTTCCACTCCCTTTGGGGATCTCTTACTTGGATCACCTTTGTTGCCAAAACACAGGCTCTCTCAACCCTCCGATACCTGTCCAAGATGTATTTTTTAAAAACCTCTCCTAATTTCCTCACACTTCCCAGGCCCCTTGCTCATTGCATCCTCTCTCTAGGTTCTCTATCACCACTGACTTCCAGGCCAATAACTCACTTTCACGACTCCATCCCAAACCTCTCTTTTGAACTCTGACCCTGTGTATTCAATGGTCTATCCCATAGCTCCCCTGAGTGTCTAAAGAGCATCTACAGCCCTAACCAGTTTGGCTCAGCGGATAGAGCGTTGGCCTGCAGATTCAAGGGTCCCGAGTTTGATTCCAGTCAAGTCCTTAGCAATGATTTCATCTATTGTTTCCTCCTATGTCCTAGCTGCCAACATCCCATCCCCCTCCAATCTGGCACCTTAGCAATGATTTCATCTATTGTATCCTTCTATGTCCCAGCTGCCAACATCCCATCCCCCTCCAATCTGGCAACTATAAGTTTGTTCACCATATCTGTGAGTTTGCTTCTGTCTTACCTGTTTATTTTATTTTTTAGATTCTCCATATCTGTGAGTTTGCTTCTGTCTTGCCTGTTTATTTATTTTATTTTTTAGATTCCACATATAAGTGAAATCATATGGTATCTGTCTTGCTTTCTGACTTATTTTGCATAGCTTAATACTCTCTAGGTCAGTGATGGTGAACCTATGACATGCGTGTCAGGTGACACGCGAATGATAGGTATGTAGTTATTGCCATTTCATTAATTGCTTTCTGATTGTTGGTTATTTGTTTTAATTCTGTTTTGTTCCTTTCAGATTTTCTTACTTTCTTCTCTTGCATGTTGATAAATTTCTATAGTGCTGTGTTTGGATTCCTTTCTCTTTATTTCTTATAACACTGGTTTGGTAGGGATGAACTCCTTCAGCTTTTTCTTATCTGAGAAGCTCTTTATATCTCCTAATCTAAGTCACAGCCTTGCTGAGTAGAATAATCTTGGTTGTAAGTATTTACTTTTCATCACTTTGAATATTTCACAACAATCTCTTTTAGTTGGCAGAGTTTCTGTTGAGAAATCAGCTGACAGTCTTATGGAAGCTCCCTTGCAAGTAATTAACTGCTTTTCTCTTGTTGCTTTTAAGATTTTCTCTTTGTCTATCACTTTTGGCATTTTAATTATAATGTGTTTTGATGTGGGCCTCTTTGGGTTCATATTGCTTGGGACTCTCTGTGCTTCCTGGACTTGTAAGTCTATTTCCTTCTCCAGGTTAGAGAACTCTTCAGTCATTATTTCTTGAAATAGGCTTTCAATCCCTTGCTCTTTCTCTTCTCCTCTGTTACCTTTATGATGTAGATGTTGTTACACTTGATGTTATCTTAGAGGTCCCTTAAGCTAACTTCATATTTTAAAGTTCTTTTTTCTCTTTTTTTTCTGTTCCAATTGGGTGTTTTCTGCAATCACTGATTTGATTCTCTGCTTCATCTGATCTACTATTGATTCCCTTTAATGTATTCTTATTTCAGTTACTGTATTCTTCATTTCTAACTGTTTTTTATGGTTCTATCTCCTTTTTTATGTTTCCTATTTCTTTGTTAAAGTTCTCACTGTGTTCATCTATCTTGCCCTATGATCATTGAGCATCCTTATAACCAGTGTTTTGAACTCTGCATCTGGTAGATTGCTTGTCTCCCTTTTGTTTTTCTTTTTAGGAGTTTTTTGTTCTTTAATTTGGGACATTTGTTTGTTTTTTTCTTCATTTTGTATGCCTCCCTCTATTTTTTTTTTGTATTAAGTATATCTGCTATGTCTCCCAGTCTTGGGAGAGTGGCCTTATGTAGTAGGTGTCCTGTGGGAACCCAATGTCACAGTCTCTCTGTTCACCTGAGCTGGCTGCTCCAAGAGTGTCCCTTGTGTGTGGATTGTGTATGCTCTCCTGTTGTGTTTGAGCCTTAATTGCTATTGGCACATCAGTGGGTGGGATTGATCCTCTATAATTTAGTTGTGGTCATGGGAGGAGGCAAGTGCAGTGTTTACCATAGGGCATGTAAGCTCAGCCTCAACAGTTTCTAAGAGCTAATTTGCTTGATGTACAAGGGGTAGCTGGATAGGTTTAGAAGTGGTTTAGCTTAATCTCCCTGACCCCCAGTTTTCTGTACATTCTGTGTCTGCTTTATTGTCATCACAACTAGAAAAATAACTAATGCCAAACCAGTAACTAGGGTCCCAGGATCACCATCTCCTACTTCATTAATTCTTTGCTATGCCTCTGCCTTGGCCTCAAAATGACCTAATACCGATATTATATATGTAATTTTTCATATACTATCCTGAGCATATGGTGTTCTGCATCCCAGAAACTCGAGTCTAACCCTTGCTGCCTTCCGTCAGGATCACTATGACTGGGGCCTGCGGGCCATCAAGTCTGTGCTGGTGGTGGCAGGATCTCTGAAGCGAGGAGACCCTGACAGGCCTGAAGACCAAGTCCTGATGCGCTCCCTGCGAGATTTTAACATCCCCAAGATAGTGACTGATGACATGCCAGTGTTCATGGGCCTGATCGGGGACCTCTTTCCCACCCTGGACGTCCCTCGGAGGAGAGACCTCAACTTTGAAGCTTTGGTTAGGAAGGCGGTTGTGGACCTGAAGCTCCAGGCTGAGGACAACTTTGTGCTCAAGGTACATGGGGTTTTCCCTCCCAAGAGTTGTCTCTTAATTGGACAATTGGTTACACTTCATTCTTAATCCAATGGGTTGCTTTAGTTGTGCACATACTTATCTACTTTGCAATAACTCAGTTCATTTCAGTAGTTCTTTATTGTGGCACCCACAATGTGAAATGCGTGGTGTGGAGAACGGTGACAGACAGAGCCCTGGCCATCAGGGAGTTCACGTGCAATGGGAGCAATAAGACACAGTCTGCTCTGCCATAGCATGTGTTCCTTTTCTGGGAATTACTTCATATGTGATTATAGAGGAATGAGGTGATATAATGGGGAAGCCATGTGGGTTCACATACACTTTTCTGCTCTTGTAAATGTTTTGCCATGATCAGGGGCAGGCTTTTTACAACTAAAGAACAAAATCTTAAGGTAATAGGTAAAATAATACACACACCCCCCCCAGATATCTACATTCAAATCCCCAGCATGTGTGACTATGCTACGTTACATGACAAAGGGGGATTGAGGTTGCAGGTAGAATTAGGTTTCTAATCATCTGACCTTGAGATGAGGAATGATCCTGGTTTACTGGGTGGCCCAATATAATCACAAGGGCCTTTATAAGGGAAAGGAGATGAATAAGACAGAATTTACAGAGATGCCAAAACAAAAACTTGGCTTTGAACATGGAGGGTTGAGGCCATGAGCCAAGCAAGGGCTGTGGAAGAGAAAAAGTGATATAAGAGAATGAGTGTCAGAGTGATGCTGTGGGAGGAAGACTCAACTAGCCATTGCTGGCTTTGAGGAGGGAGGAGGGACCATGAGCCAGGGAATGTGGGCAGCCTACAAAAGCTAGAAAAGGCAAAACACACACACACACACACACACACACACAAACCAGATTCTACCCTAGAGCTTTCGGTAGGAACCAGCCCTGTACACACATTGATTCAAGCCTATGAGAACCATTTTGGACTTCTGACCCCCAGGACTATTAGATAATAAACTTGTGTTGTTTAAACCTTTAAGCTTACAGTGATTTGTTACAATAGCAACAGAAAATGAGTACATTTAGCCGTAGATTTAGAGTTGAAAAAAAAGACCCTGAAACTTTAGTGTAAGTGTAACTAGTTTTATGGCCCTAGGAACTGTGGTGGTTTGTACTGTTTTCTAGGAAGGCTCAAGCAGGTAAAGACATTTCCCCACCTGTTAAAACAGTGCATTCATGAAGGCGGCTCCGTCTAGATCAGGCCTTTAGTTGGGATTAAAATGTACTTTATTGGAAGTCAATATATCCATGATCTACCTGTTGAAAAAGAGAGGACAAGGCCCCAGAATTAAGGCTTCAAAGAATTAATAGACATGAGGTAGGGTATAAGCTCTCTAGTGATTTCAATGTGCTAGCATTTTTAATGGAATTAGGAGGAATTGTTGAGTTTTTAGGGCTTGGGATACAAAATTCTGTACATTTGGAGTGGCCTTCCCCAATCTGTTTTTCCATAAGCCTGTTACTTTTACTGTGCAGTTTTGCAGAAGGTGACATTTTCAGGATGCATAAATGTCATTAGAGGAGAAGTGCCGGCACAGAAATAACAAATGCCTTGGAGCTGGATATGACAAGTGCCACAAAAAAGGGTTCTGGGGTCCAGGGACATGGATGAAATTTTTTCCTATATGATAGTATGTCTGAGACTCACATAAGCATCACTTTAGATTTCACAGTGTTTTTATATTCTCTATCACATTAGGTTCCCCCAAACCTCCAAGACAGGGACAGATGAGGCACCTTCCCGAGGAGGAAGCTGGGATGCCATTACTTCTCCAAGAAATTCCACTGAGCTTTTCCCAGGAAAGAAAGCGCTCCCCCTTGAGGAATGCACAGGCTGGGGGGGCCTTCTTCACTTGGAGGTGGGAGGCTTTTCAGGCACACAAAACTTTCAATAGTAGAGATTAAGGGATTACATTTTACTGAAGAAACATCACCTGGTCCTTCGCAGCTGGATTGTTTTTGTGAGTGGGCCCTTCCCTGCTCCCAACCTCTTTCTTTTGAAGTATGGTGGATAGACTTTTTAAAGGTAGAGGTGGTCAGAGGGGCCTTCCAGGTAGAGGGAAAAGGGTCTGCGAAGGGGGAGATGGAGAAATAGAGGTTTTACTAGCAGCAGCAAAAAGTCCAGTGTTAGAGAAAAACAGATTGGGGGTGCCAGTGGGGGCGGGGAGGGGTAGGCAGCAGGGCAGATAATATGCAACCATGACACAGAGGGCCTTGAATGCCAGGCTGAGGGTTTCCTCTTAAATGGTCTGTTCCTAAGAGGCCCCCACCTCAGAGATGAGTTAAATTCAATCCAGTGCCCTGGGCTGATGTCTTCGATCAGGACCATACATGTCTTCCCCGACGCTCTGGGAATCTGCTGAGTAACAGACCCTCCTTCCCCATTTTCGGCATTTTTTCCTACTCAGAACCTCAGCCTTCCTTTCCATTTGCTTGTCAGCTGGCCCACATTCTGTTTCGCCCTTTTTTCTCAGAACTACTTTCTGCTCCTCGGATAAGACACATGTCCTCTTCTAGAGGCTCTTGGAACAGATGACGTTTTTCTACCCAGTTTTCGTTTGCACTGTTCACCAGCGCTTCTGAAAGTTAATCCATCAAAACCCTCATGAGGCTCTGGTTTGAGATGGCATCCAGTGATCCCTTAAACGTGATGTGTAAATTTTGTGCGGGGGTGGGAGGGGAAGGATTAAGAAAGAGGAATAAGCCCATTAAAGTGTGGAAACTGAGAAGGGGATAGTGGAATGAATTTCTGGAAAAATGGAAAGAGGATGAAAGCAGGTTGACTGGTCTAGCAGAGCAGGGGGCAGGGCCCAGAATACACTTAGAAAGGGCTTCAGGAGAAGAGGGGCCAGGGAGTGCCTGCCTGCCCAGCAGAACCCAGAGAAGCTCGGGCTTGGCGTTGGTAGTGAAGGGCAGGGATGAGAAAGAGAACGGAAAACAGCCAGAGGAGGGTCATCAAATCTGTTTACCCTATAATTTTGGCACTTGCCCCCCTCCCCATACTCTTCTCCCAGCTTCCCATTCTAGGCCCCAACTCCCCAGATGCCGACTATGTGCAGCCAGGCATTTAGCACACAGCCTAAAAGAAAGGTCTGCGGGAATTTAATAACTCTGGGAAAAACCACAACTGCACTTGGGGTACTAGTGCCTCTTGAAAGCGCTTTCATTGTGCTTGGAGCCCCTTGGCCTGAAAGCCAGCCACCTGCTCCTCACCCCCACGTGAAAGGACAAAGACAAAGCCCAAGGTCTGGCCTTGGGTGCAGAGCCTCCTTTCAGCCCTGCACTGGCGAGAGACCGGCACAGCAGCTGCAGGCAGCACCCATCCCAGCTCCCAGGAAACAGTGTAGCTCTTCATTCAACCTTGAGGCTCATCAGACACTGGAGAAAGCCAGCAGCATGAGAGATGAACTCAGACAGATACACACAGAGCAGCTGATTACAGTGGAAATAAGGAAGGGAACATTTTGAACATTCTAATTAATATCCTTGAGGAAAATTAAGAAAAATATATCAATAAAACAAGAATGAGATGCTATAGAAGAAAAAGAACTCTTGGAGAATTGTACAGAGTTCTTTGAAATGAATTGTATCATTGGTGATACATAAAATTCAGTGAGAAGACTAGGAAAAAAATGACAAGAAAACATCCTAGGACGAATTATGTGTGTATGGATGGATGGATGCATGCATGCATGTATGCATGTACGCATGGATAGATGTGAATGGGTATAGTGGATATATATAGATATAGATATACATATATATACACATATATAGTATGTATAATAAAATATAACATATATACAGGGTGTCCTAAAAATGAATATACACTTTAACAGTTGATAGCTCGATATTTGAAATGAAATGTATTTTAATAAACACTGCCTTTATTCAAAGTATGTATATACATCTTTGGGACACCCTATATTAAAAATTTGGCACAAT